ATTTTCATTCCTAGTAAGAAAAATATTGCTTTTCAAAGTGTCTTGTCACACTGCTTCCTTAGATCAGATTTGTGGAGAATAGCGAGGAAAAAGAAAAAATTTACATAAGATAATATTCTGAGAAGGCTGAAATTTTTAGAAAAAACATTCTTATGTCCTTCCTTGATGCCCCCAGTCCTACTCAGCAACACAAGGAGAAGCCAGAGAGGCAGAATCCATTCAGTCCTATACATTACTTTTCATATTTTCCGTTACATAAACTATTTCTGGATCAGTTTTAAAATAGTGTGAGGATTGGGGGGGCTCTATGGCAGCCTGCAGTCAGCCTGGCTGTGTGCCGTGTGCCCATGGGTCTGTGACCCTGCTTTCACTGGGCAATGTGTTTAGATGTAGGAGGCCAGAGTTCTTCCAACAGTTAATAGCCCTGTAAATTATATTGGTACAATAAAAATAAATCTGGTAGTTCTTGTGGTGAGGGTTTCCTTCCAGTGTTGCTTTTAGCATCCTGGCGTGTTGCCCAAAGAATACTGTATTAATGATTTGTGTGAATTAATGTTACCCGAAAGGGATCATTTACCTCATAAGCCTTTTAGGAGAGAGAGCACCGAGAAGCTGAATTCTATCAGGCCTGAAAGTAAATTTTAACTATTGGGGGGGAGAAAGAGTCACAAACATTCTTCTAATAGCTTATTCATAAGTCTGTCTTCAGAAAGGCAAGTAAAAAAGCTGCTGGTGCTTCCATGGATCTTTGCTGAATTTCGGCTTTGTAACTCACACTGAGGCAAGACACTTTCTACAAAATTTACAGGTAGCAATTTCTGTTCTGCTCCGAGTGAAAGTGTCGTGTTTTGGGGTCTTTGCACTGAGCAAGGCCTGTCCCACCTCTAACAGCACGGTGATGTGGAGGTGCTGGGTGCTAGGTGTGGCTCACGGGCATCCACCTAAAAGAGAAACATCTCCCTGGGGATCAGAAAACTGGGATTTGAAACTTCTTGTCTCTTTCTCATTTGAATGCCCTGACTGCTGGGCCGAGGGGTGTTTTGAGCTGTAAATTGTGTGCTGACTGACTCCTACTGGCTTCTTTGTGCATGTATGTGGGATTTTGGTATGGACTCCTTTCTATACTATTCTTGCTCTGCCTTGCTTCAGCAATTCTGTGGTGATCTTAAGAACTCTTTCCAGATAAAAACTTGTGCATATGATAGTTGTGGTTTTATTTTTGCTTTCCATTAACTGACGGGCATCTACAAAAACCTTTGCATTCACTTAATTGTGATGTTGTAGTGGGAAAGATTCTGTATTTATAAAAACAAAACCCAACTAATCATCCTCTAACTTCTTTTGGGCTTTTTTGCCTTATGTAAAGGGAAAGATAAAACCCAATTAGGAACATTAGTTGGGGAGTTACGACTTACAGTGCAGGGGTTGTAAATTGATGTCTTTGCTTTTATTAAATGAAGAATATAAACTGCCTTTCAGTTCTCTGTGCCTGTGCTTTATGCAGTGTAACTCCTAAATGCATTTTAAAATAAAACCTACTAAATGTCTCTTTGTAAATACGGTCTTTTGAAAAGTATAACTGTGCACGTTTTATACAGTAGCTTCCATCTGCAAGTACAAGAACATTGCTTTTGTACCTTATGCTTCTGTAAAGGAGTCAGTTAGGGGAGCCAAGCACAGGCTTGCTGGAAAGGACACCTCAGCTCCCTCAGGTTGTGTTGACCAATGTCACATCTCATGGCAGTAACCGTGCAATCTCCTCATAACCCAGGGCCAGCATAGTCCTGAGACAGGAATTTCTTGCGCTTCATGTAAATTCCTATAAACTAACAAAAACGCTCACAAGATTTAAGCAGGTTTCTTCCTCCATTCTTTCTTCTCACACATTTGTCTTTAGATTAGTAAAATGCACTTTTGCATGTGTTTTCACAATTCATCTCAGGATGATGCTGCGAGAAATAGATTTTTATGACTATTTAAAAGTGGATTTTAGAAAAGAGCTAAAGCAAGAGACCCATCAACCCAAATCCCAGAAGAGGATTCTCATCTGGAGTTAACAGCAGCAGGACCAGGAAGACCTTCACCCTTCTCTCTGTTACTGTCTGGTGCCCAGGAAGATCCTGATGGTTCTGATTTTCTTGCTCCAAAGAGAACTGAATGAATGCCGCTGACATCAGAGTTGACATTTGAATATTATCAGCCTGTGGGATGCAGCTGGGTCCTGGGTTCGTGCCGTTTAAGGCTCTGATGTGCAAGTGGTGGTGTCTGCAGCCGCAGGAGCCGGTGTTCCTGCCCACCCCAGCTCTGCACAGGGCGACGTTTTCCCTGGTGAGGATGCCCATTGCAGAAGGTGACACCTTACCCTGTTAGAGCTTGTGCATCAGACCTCTGGGAGATGAAGCATTGGAGTGCAGGTGTGCACAAGAGCCATAACCCAGCACCTACCCTGAAAGCGAGGTCAGCTATGGGCATGGCAGTGCCAGGGAGAAGCTGGGGTTGGTGGGTGGTGCACTCCATCCTTGCCTGTGTGAGAGGAAGGTGATTTCTACCATGAAAAGGAGGTTTTATGCATGCATGTCCCCTCTGCCAGTGACAGCCCGCCTGCCTCCCCAGAGCTCCAGCCCAGCCCACGGGCTCTCAGCTGTGGCCTGTTCCCTTGGCACAGCAGCTCTCCTCTGCCTCTGGCCCCTTGCCCTTGCAGCCACTATCTTCAGATCTGCCTGCCTGGGAAATCTTGGGCTGGTTTTGCCTGATAATTCAGATGAATGGTTGCTGTCGCCTTGGGCTAATTACACTTATAATCTGTTCTTTCCTCTTCTCCAGGACTCGTCTTCCCGCAGAATAAAGCCAACCACAAAAAAACCCCAAAACAAAACAAAACCAAACCAACCAAAACAAACAAACAAAACAACCCCAAAAAACCCACCCAAATAAAAAAAAACCCAACAAGCAAAGAAACAGTTTGCTGTTTAAATGAAAAGAAAGAAAGACTTAAAACGAAGGAGAAGCCAGAGCAATTTTCAACACTTGTTCTTTCTAGATGCACTTACTGGTGCTATGAGGAATGTTTGCTTTTCTTTGTGAACAGCAGATCTTCCGTCACTGGGAAACTAAGCACAACACTGAGGTAGCATTTCATCCCAAAAGGTTGCACCATCCCTTGCTTTTTGACCACTCCTCTGGTTCACTGCCATTGCTGTTTGCCACGAATCTTCCTCTAGTTTTGCTTTGGGTGGCTGTCAGTGCCATCATAATTATATGCTAATTGTATCAGGTAAACATTACTGAGAACCTAGCAGTTTAACAATTTTTCTGTAGCCATTTTGACACCTATATATGCATTAACTTAGGTTAATCTGGAGTGAAACTGTGCTGATCAACTCTGGAAAGAAATAAATGATTGTTACGAGTAAATGCCTGTTGTCTGCTTAGGAAGGAATGTACTGTTTTGTTTGATTTAGTTGTGCCAAAATTAGTCTTCAGTGTGGTATGTGGTGTGTTTGACAAGTAACTATATTTAGTTATTAGTTTCTGAAACACTAAATAATAGCTGTTATGGAGTCCTTGTTGAGTGCTCTGGAGCTCCAGCCATGGTTGAGTAGCTGAACATGATGATTCTCCTGGGTTAAATCCAGATCAGTGTTTGATTGTTGATTTCTTAGCAACTAGTGAGTCAAACTACTATGAATGTCAAGTTAGAAAATGATTGCTGTTGTGGTTATCAACCTAAGCATTCAGTATGTTCACTTTGTGCTAATATCTAAAGTTTTGTGGCTTGTCTATTAACATCAAATGCAAAATTAAGAGCTGAGAAGGAGTGTCAAAACCCTTCATGTGTCCTTCAGAGACCATATGAGAGCATATGTTAGGTGCAGCGTGATAATCCCACAGGAGCACTCTCATTTTAGATACTGGAGAACCTTGGTTTAACATTGGAGTCTGCTACAATTTGTACTGGCATGAGAGACTTAAGGGTAACATATAAATGTGCGAATGTATGTTTCAAATGAATATAAGAAACAGGGGCCTTCATCTCATTTACTCAAGGTTCTCTGCACAGCTTGGAGCCTTTAACATTGAGACTAAATTGTTTACTCTCAGTCTCACATACCTCTCTTTCACCACCATTGTGCATATGGACTGTAGCATAAATGGGAATTGGGCTTGAAGTTGGCATTGATAACCAAGTGATTGAAAAAACAGTATAAAGTCCAGCATTTAAAAGCAGGTATAATACATTGCTAGATAAAATGAGATGTGTGGTACTTCTGCTAAATGCCAGTCTGGACACTCCACAGGCATTTAAAGGTAGATAATACTGACTGCATTTGTCCGTGGGCTAATGGGTGGAATGAGGGCATTGATCTACTGAATTTTCACTCTTGTAAGCTTGTGGTAAATATGCTGGAATGAAAATGGAGGATTTCTGATTCTTTAGGCTGTAGGGATCTGATTTTCTTGAGGTTGTATTTCTCTGAATTGTATTTACTAATCAATTACATGCAAGGTAAAAAGTGATTCTAAATATGGTGGTTACAGGTGTATGAATAGCTGCTTTGGAGTGGGTTTTTGTGTCTCATTTTTTTAAGACCAAACTCCAAACCAAACATCCTCTTCAGAAGAAGACTCTGAAAATAGAATCTTTTGATAAAGAGGAATATTTTTGAAAAGTTGTATGGAAAATTTTCTTGGAGGGGAAGAAATTATGGATCAGTTCTGAATTTACTTCTTATTTTTCTAAATTAAGGTTTTGTTGCTAGTATCTAATGCTGCGGGGGAAGAAAAACCCCACTGAATAATGAAATATGACTATTGTAGGCATTTTCTAACTTTTTAATTTCCAAAGCTGTTATTGGAGCATGAAATAATTAGTATGAATCTTAGCAATTGTATTTGCTACCTTTTAGATGTACAAACAAAATCTAGAATTCTTTGTAAAAATAAGATGGAAAAAATTTTTTTACTTCTCACCTTTTTTTTTCTTTTCCTTTTTATAATAGGGCTTTATTTGTCCACTTTGTATGAAGTCTCATGGATCAGCTGAGGAGCTGTTCAAGCACTATGAAGCAGTTCATAATTCTGGCATTGATTCAACTCATGGAGGGGAAGGTCATCTGTCACCGGAAAGGTGCAACAGTGTTCATTTGTGCATGTGCTTTTGTGTCAGTGCTGAGCTACTTCTAATTACACTGAAGGCTGTATTAATTTGAACACTTAACTATGTAGTCAAGTATCAAATGTTCATGCCCCATTTCCAACCACAATTGAAAAGCATCTTGAAGCTTACATTGGCTGATACTGATCTGAAGAGAAATGAAAATCAGATACACGTTTATATTGTGAATTAAATTACCGGTTTCTCATGCAGCTGACAATGCAATATTACACACTGGAATGATTTTTAGGAATGTGGCAGAAAAAAATACAAGTTCTTCCTAATTCTGGCAAAGAGCCTCATCTTTTGAGGGTGGGGGAGAACAACCCTGAAGACAGAGAAGAAATTTGATTTTGTCCCTGGATACTTTAGGATTACTGAGTAATAACGTCAGCATTTGCCTAAATAGTTTCCCATAGGACCTAGTTATTTGCAACTCTGAGAAGTGTCTGTGTCACTGATTTTCCTTCTGTGTTCCAGAAACTCCATGCTGTTCTTCAGCAGTCTTCTCAAATTTATTTTATTTAACTGTTTGGTCAAAACTGTCTTGTTAAATATATTCCTATGCAACATACCGGGTTGTTTTATTTTTGAGAGCAGTGATATGTAGCAGGAACTGATACTGTGACTAACTCAAGAGAGAGTGGTTCTTCAGTATGAAAAGAGTGCAGAAGGCAACATATTTCAGTTGTTATCTGAATGGAGATCTGTATCTCCACTGTATTGTGCAGACCTGCCAAGCCAGTAAGAGCCAACATTAGCATAGGTCTTGTCTTCGTGCATGGACAGGCCCTTCTTTGTGGAGATCTGCCTTCTCTCCTAAATGTTGCAACGAAAAAAAAAAAAAAAAAATCAAAATTACATGAGAGTAGTGTTTTATTTTATAGGAGCTATATTGGATTTCTTATGTGTGCATTTATTCAAGAAAGAGTATTTCTTCTCTGTCTGATTTAAGCAGTTTTGGAGTGATATAACAGACCTGAAATGATACTGTTAGTAGCATAAGGGCATTCACATGGGGGGAATTATTTGTCATAACTATATTGTGTATATGTGAAATAATTATTTTTATGCCTGGAAATTTGCAATGTAAACCAGATGTTGACTGGTGAAGTTTATTTGGTTTTTTTTCCTGGCTCTTAACAGTTTCAGGACAAGTGGTCTTGTTTTCTCTTATATAATTGAAAAATTGGACAAGGTCAGGGAGTTGCATGGAGTGAAGGGAATCTGGTGAGAACTGTTGTGTAACACAAGCTATTTCTGCCCACTAGTGTGGCATTCTTTAATGTTTTTCGGTGGCAGGGTTGCTTAAGAAAACTCTCGTTCAACATAAACGTGTTTTTCCAAGATTGAAATACTTAATATTAAGAAATCCTGCAGCCTGTAGGGAGCCACTCTGATACTGGTCTAGGAGTGAAGCTTAAATGTAGTTCATGAGCACAACTGGGAGGTGAAATTCCCTATTTAGTCAACAGAAAAAGCTAGCTACTAGGAATTACATTGTGTCCTCTTCTTCTGACCCACCCCAATAAACTACCATGTTTAGGTGCCAAGAGTAAATTGTGTAACTCTCCCAGTGCTATTCATCAAGGCCACTGGTGCTTGGCGCTAGGATGGAGGCACTGGCATTGTAGGTGGGGAATGGAGTGGGGCGTAAGGAAAAGGTCATAGGGATTTGCCTGGTGGTGAGGCTCGGATTTGCTGAGGGGAGGAAGGAACTGTTTCTGTCCCTTAGCAGAAAGGCAGATTTGATGAGGATTTGCATAGCAGTGAAAAAAACAAACTTACAGTGTCTGTTGTGATCCCTTACACACTTTTTCCCCCATTCATCTTCCACTGGTCAGTTAAACAGAATTTGGGTTTAATCTTAAAACTGTCAAGCAAAACTGTTTGGAATATTGAGGCAACTACTGTAGGAGGATCCTTACATTGCAAACTCTCTCTCCTCCTCTTCTCCCTTCCTCTTTCACCTCCACTACAAACTATTTTTATACTGTTCGAAACTTTTTATGCACTAAGAGCACCAGAGCATCTTAAATGATTTAGTATTGCAGATCTAGTATATGTTCAAACCAAATTCAATATAGTTAACTGTTTCACCTACCTGAGATTTCGTTTATAGTCTTAGGTGTGAATATTGGCTGATTTACTTACACTGGTGAGGAAGGTGCTCCTGCTTCTCCACCCACAACCAGTGTATGGATTTTGGATTACAGCTGCATTTGCCTCAGTAATGTTTTATTTGCAAACCTCCAGTGAATGTCTCACACAGGCAGAATAATGTGTGAAAAGCTGAAAATCTTCCTCTGAAAAAAGTTAGCCTCCCACTAGCCCAGCTTTTAGTTCCCAATAGTTTGTTTTTCCATTAAAATTGGTCCCCCTTGGAGTTCTTGTCTCACTGGTTCAACTGTGTGTCTTTCACTTGCTTGGTGATGACCCTGACCTGATGTTAGTATGCTAATATAGATGGAATCTGTTCCTTCCCAGTTTAGTTAAGGAATAGCTTGCCCTTTTTTTTTTTTTTTTTTTTTTTTTTTTTTTAATAGTGTCCCTTTTTTTTTTTTTTTTTTTTTTTTTTTTTTAAATTTCTTAAGTATGAGGTAATTTAAAAGAACATCTGTAGAGGAGGGGATAATAGAGCACAGCATCAATAAATTTGTATGATATAAGACTGAGAGAAATTGTTGGCATTAGCACCCACGTATATATTCTGCATACTCCTCAGTGTTGCCATGCTACAAACAGTAAGAAAAGGATATGTTTGTATTGTTTTAATGACGTGTGTATTCCAGGTTTGGAGTGGTTGTACCTCAGTAATGCAACATTGTCTTTGTATAGTTGTGCAGTTCTGTAAGGGGACCTGCCATTTAGAAAGGTGCTGTCTAAAGCAATTAGTAACAGTTGTAGCCTTGGCTCCTGTGTTCTTGCATAGCTGGAGTCTTGAGCACAAAATTTGAGAATTTAAAATCCCAAGGCTTTAAACATTCAGACCATTAAGTGAGCGTGTGTGTGGGGGAATACCAAATTGCTCTGTGGATGAAGAATTATGTAACTGCATTTTTTAAAAGGAGTATGACAGCCTGCTGTCTGCTAGCAGTGTCCTTTACATGAGATGGAAAGTGGAGGAGAGCAAACCTGTCCTTTTTGTGATAAGTTATACAAAATGGTTAAATGTCCCAGTGCACAGCTTTGCCATTCTCAACTCATGTGATTGAGCTGATGCAACAGTTTAGATTTACATTCTGTTTTCATGAAACTTTTTGGATGTGTTTCTTTACTTATTTAATTAATATGCTTAGCATTTTTCAAGTGATGTGCAACGTGAACTAACCAGTATCTGTTAATCTGGTTTGTCCCAGGTATCAAAAAAATCTGAAAATAACTATTTATAATTGAGTGTAAATATTTATGTAGCATGTGGCTCTCACTACTGTTATTTAATACACATTATAACCTGTATGCAATTGACATAACCACTGCGTATTCATTTTCTCCACCTCATGAATGTGTGTTCAGAGATGAAGTATCACTGCTCCGACAAGAAGTCAAAGACTTGCAAGCTTCGCTGAAGGTTGGAAATATATTTTACTTGTACTTGGTTCTTTGTTTCAAATTGCAGTGTTCCACTGTCTTAAGCAACTCAATTTACAGTTCTCTCTTCTCCATGTCCTTTTTTTTTTTTTTCCTTCCTGTTTTTTTGCCCCCTTAGGAGGAGAGGTGGTATTCAGAAGAACTGAAGAAAGAACTAGAGAAATTGCAGGGGCAGCGGCAGCAAGTAATTGCTTTAAAATACTTGAAGCAGGTTTATCATCAGCATTGACATTGAAGATTAATACCTTTTTTGTAAGGCACGTGGCCTGATTTAGTTAGTTCCATAATTTGAATATTGACATATACTTGAAAAGAAAGCTAGTTATCTCTCCACAATGTAACTGTGTATATAAATCTGAAGGAACAAAGTCAGAATAGGTACTGATTCTTCTATACTACTCATTACCAAGTTCAGTTCAGACTTTTCCTTCTGTTTGGCTTATTCAGAGCTAAGTTTATTAAAGAAAATAAATCGAGTGTTGTGTTTGATCTGAGAAAGGGCAAAGAGTTCTTTCTTGTAAGAACTTCTGGAGAACAATAGCATAATTTCACAGATGTCTAGATGAACTGAACAAACAGGGCAAGGCAAATTTTGGTGTGTTGTGCCCTAAGGAAGCTCTTGCTTCTTTTATTACTATGAGCTACATAGATAATGGAATGTTACACACCTCAGAAATTGCTTTCTGACAAAATGCTTTCTCAGAATGTATTTAATGATGTCTATAATCTCTGTTTTTAGGGTGGATTTTAATATTGGTGAAAGGGCGGGGGAGGGGATTGTTACTGCAGTCTTGCAAGTCTGGAAGCCTGATAGTGTAGTGATACATGAAATGGAAAAATCATCTTGGCCTTTTCCAGTCTTCCAGATCTAACTGTTTGAAATCAGGTATTTTTATACTGGTATGCAGTATTTGAGCATAGAAGTCTGTATTTCCTTGTGTTTTCAGAAAAAATGGGATGAACTTTGGAAGTAGTAGTTCTTATTCCTACTTGTCTAATGATGCATTTATTCTGTTTTCTTAAGGATTCTAAGTCTGATGGATTGCCAACAGCTATATCTACAGGTGGCTAATATTTTATTATATTAATTTCTGCACTGTTCTGGAATTTCTGAAATTTTTTTCAGTGTAGCTTTTAGGCTTATGAAAAGGCACTTTTGGTAAATTAGAGATAGAAAGCTGGAACAGTGGCAAAAAGGTAATTGTCAGTGCTTAAGATACATAGCTTTTGATAGCTGTAGTCTGGGGAAATGTTCCAGGGGCTCAGGGCTGTTTTTTCTAGAAGTGAGAGAGGAGTTCTGACTCTGAAAGCAGTTCTCGTGAATAGCTTTAAACATGTTTTTAATAATTTAATATATTCAAGCATTCAGTACAAGTTTGTTGTTGAGAAAGACAGTGATTGTTGATATTAAACTATACCATTTGTCGGGGCTGGTTTTATTTAGTATTTTTCTGTACTTACTGCTAGCAAAGGAAACAGTTTTTTTGTTTGTTTTGCAGACCAATGATTTTTGCTCTGTTTTTCTCCATGAGGCATTCATGGAATAAAATTTTTCTTATGTGTGCATAAACTATCTGACTGATGATGACTAAAGAGATTTTAGTTGCATTTTGGGGCTCAGAATTCAGCAGCATGTTGTAGTGATCTGAAAGGGGTATTTATGACCAATGAAAACCAATATGTACTTAATCCTGCAGAGGACTCAATTAGTGACAGGTTCCAGCATCATGCTTATAGAAACTTAAGTAAAGTTGTTCACTTGCTAATTGGATGTTCACTGAATTTGGATTACTTATTTACCTGCTGTGGTTTGTTATGAATGTGAGTAACAGTATTGTCCTAGCTTTTCTAGACAATAATACTGTTCTTTTTTATGGAAATAGAATCACTAGAACGGCAGCTAGAAGAGATCCAAGTAGAAAATTTTAACATTAAGCAAATGAAAGACTTATTTGAGCAAAAAGCGGCACAGCTAGCCACTGAAATTGTGGGTAAGTATATTAACATGAGGTCTGATTCTGTTCTCTCCTTGTGCAACTTGTGCGAATGATCATTTATTCATCTTCCTTCTTATTAGATCTTAAATCAAAGTATGATGAAGAAATCAGCCTTCGGCAAAGTGCAGAACAGAAAGTGACAAACCTGAGACAAGAGCTGCAGAAGGAGAGAAGTACAGTGGAAGACTTAAAGACAGAGCTGGTATTCACATCACACTAATGATTTTGTTATTTTCAAGTCAAAGGGAGTGGAGCACTTAAATGCTTGCAAATGGAGTTTTAAAGCAGTCAAACTCTGTTGAGCTTGGAGATGTCTGCTAGCGGGCTGAAAAAGTTCAGAACGCCACTGTTTCTGATCTGCTCCAGTGAGCGACATTTTTCACTGTTTTTCCAGTGAGGAAATGTATGTTGTTTCTGACTTACATATTAACATTTACCCTACATTATATTATAGCCTGCCTGTCTGATGCTCTACTCATCAGCAGTTTTGCAAGGTATTACATGTATAGATGTGCTGTGTAGGCCTGTACTTGGAGTATGCTGTTGCTGGCTTGCACAGCGGTCTTTAGATCACCCTTTTTTCATGAGGTGTTATGGTCTGACTGTGCCTGGACAGCTGCACTCATAAGAAGTGTTCAGAGGGGTGTTTTGTGACATGGTGGCTGAAAGGCTGGCAGCTGTCATCACAATGCCTATCTTAATGTTGTCCCTCTTGCACTTGGCTGATAATACCAACATGAGTGTATTCCAGGATTTTGTCTCCTAGTGACTTTCGTATATGGCTGTGGCTCCAGGGAGCTATTCTAGTGACTTGGCAGTTGTGTCCCTTCTAAAGCAGTAGTGCAGGGGACTTTCTGTTTCACCCAGTCAGCCACTGCTTAGACACTGGAGGAAAGTAAAACTCATTTATCCCCGTTCTTCCCTGTAGTTGGCTGCCCGGAAGGGCTCATGAGTTGTTCTTGGCCCGCCCAGCCACTGGACCTATCCATGCCTCTCTGTTCAGTTGTTTCTTGTCTTCCTTTCTTCTTCTGCATTCTCACCCTTTTCCTGTACCTTTTCTTTTCTAGATGCTAGCAGTCCTTTCCTCTGCTTTCTTTGATGCCCACTATTGCCTTCTCTCCTGTCCCTTTACAGCTTTTCATTTTGAGGGACATTATGGTGCTTTAGATGTAGTTACCAACAGATTTTATGTATGGGTCTGATATGAGGCATGTCAGGCATGTCTGACAGTACTTTCAAGACATTTCCCTCAGCTTCCTTTTTTTTTTGCTGTTCTTGTGGTTTTCTGAAGAAGCCTGAAGACAGAGGCAGCATCACTGTAAAAGTCTGTGTAGCACTGGATTGTTATGTGTCTCGTGTATTACAGCAGCAAAGTATAGACAGTAATCCATTCTGCTGAGTTGTGGAGTCAGTAAAGGCTACTTCTCAGAGAAGCGTGACTTCAGATAAATGTCTTGCATGGATTCCCTGTCACTTCAGTCTTCTCTCACAGGGAAAGCCTCCCTCCTGTACCTAGCCATCTACGTACATAAACATTACAGAAATTTAATCTTTGTGACCTTTTCCCATTTGTCAGGTTTGATTAAAATCAATCAATCAAAGTTTAGCAGTCAAGAACTGACAACCAGCCATTAAATCCTCTTTCCTTTGGGAATGATAAGTACTGTTCTGTGGTTTTATTTTTTTGGGGTCTCTCTCTCTGCACAGCTGTGATACTGTATGTCACATTATCTGTAAACTGACAATTTGAAAGATTTTTAGGGATTACATTGACACTGGAAGTATATCTGCCAACTGTGTGTTGGTCATTGCTACTCTTCTGCTTTTCAGCTTCAAAGGCCTGGTGTGGAAGATGTGGCTGTCCTGAAAAAGGAGCTGGTCCAAGTTCAGACACTGATGGACAAAATGACACTGGAACGGGAGAGAGAATCTGAAAAGCTGAAAGATGAGTGCAAGCACTTGCAGGCAGAGCAGGCTAACTCAGAGGTAATAATAACATCTAAAATGTATGTCCTGGCTCTGCCATGATCCTCATATGAACATGGACAATATTAGTTTGTCATATGAACAATATTAGTTTGTCATAGTGACAAAACCTCTTTCTTAACCAAATCTACTGTAACTAACAAATGTCTTGCTTTATTACAGTAAATTGAATAGTTCTGTCAGTGTTTACTCTATAAAAGCTCCTGTGCTTTTTGCTGTAAAACCTTTTTTTATTACAAGTTATTACAAGAGCCAAATAACAGGAACAAAACCTGGTGGAGCTGTGCTCTTTCTACTGGCAGAAAGAAATAGAGCAAGACTTGTGTGATTCAAGAACTTTAATATTTTAGTTGAGCTAATGTGGATAAAAACAGTTAATGAAAATTATGGGTTTGGTTAATGTTGGAATTGATGTGTTTGAAAATGGATGCTAGAGTGTTAAAATACATACAAAGAAGTTATTAATACAAGGTAGGTAACAATTTCAGTGTTCTTATAGGTTGTATGTAAATCTTACAGAAGATTTTTAAAGCCTTCATGGATATTGTAAACAGGTTTTCTTTATTTTTTTCTTTCTATATTTTACAGTTAAATGAGAAGCCTTTTTACAGCTTTCACTTATTGTAGGAATTTTTTTGTGCAGTTCTGTTCTGCACACATATCCCCTGCCCATCTTCTGCATAGCGGCCTCCCAAATGTTGCCCGTTACTGACTAGAGCAGAAACTGCTTGCCAGGCCTCACCATATCTTAAGGTGAAGTTATCAGGATGTCACCTGTATCCAGTTTCCAGGCAACACCACCTTAGTTTTCCTCTCTTTGTTTCTGGAGTCTAAAGTATAAAAAAAATATTTAGTTCTCATGTTAGTTGGAAGTTCTTAGTTTACATTTTTCTTCTCCATATCTTCCTGGTTTTGAACTTTTCAATTTGTCTCTTTTGAAAGGCACCTCACGGTGTACTTCAGTTGCAGAATATGCTGGTTTCTTCTGTAGTACCAGCAAAGGCTTGCCCTGCTTTGACTGAGTCAGTGGAAGGGGTTTTAAGTTGCTCATGGGAACAATTAAAAAAATTTGTCCATTTTGTTGTTTTTGCCATACAAAACTGGTGATAACTGTGTTTCAGGAAGCAAAGCTAACTGCCTCTCTCATAGCAAATACTAATTTTTCTTGGTTTTGGTTCCTCCACTTCTTACACCAGTGAACACTTGCCTCTTCTTTACAAGGTGGAGAAACATGGGTGCAACAGCTCTGACTTTGAACTTTAAGAAGGAACCTTACTCCTCAACCTGTCTCAGATCACTCCTGGCTAAAGCCTGCTTGATGGTGTTTACTATGACAGTGAGGGAGACCTCTGACACAGATAATAGCAAGAAATCCTGATAAAAATACAGTATCACCACGAAGGCTTTTGTCAAACATACCATTTATTCCACTGAGGAGTTGGTAAATCCATACCTGCAGAAGAATTCTCTTGCTGGGTGGTGTCATACTTCACTGGTGGCTTGGTTGTTGTGGTTTTACTAATGGATGACTTGACAGCCTAACAGCCTTCAATGGATTGTCAGCTGTGTTTGAGACTTTAATTTTGCTCTCTGTCTTTTCTGTTGTCCCCCACCAATGCAGCAATGGCAGTAAAACTTGTCAATGCAGAGCTGTGATCCCTAGAGAAGTGGGATCCTTGCAGAATTCCCCAGTCTATGTGAAGGAATGCCTGTGGTTTCTGTAGGACTCCTAGCATACTCTTCCCATTGAGATTTGTGGATGTGAAAGATTTCTGACGTGTTTTTTTCTGGAGTTGCATGTGCCCTAGATTTCAGGACTGTAGTTTTAACTTTCCGTTTCCTGATTTGCACTGCAGAGCTTTAGAGAAGTTCTGCCTGGCATTATTCTAAACTCCTTAGGGCTTTCTCTCCTGCCTCCCCCCACCCAACACATATATTGAGCTTCAGGAATTGTACAGGAATGCAGTGTTGTACTAAACATGAATCTACCATTGTTTTCATGTTAAAATTATGTATGCCAAGAGCTTCATCAGATGTGAAAAAAAGAAATATCACAGTTGGAGTTATGAATATAATGTGGTTATATAGAGATGTAAATTGCTGCATAATTGTAATTTGGTTTTAACTGTGAGATCCCACAACTATGCTGTAGAACTTAAATTTCATTTCCAAATACTGTCTCTGTAGTCTTTTGTGGTTTTGGATGTTTAATCTGCATGTTAAGATAAAATGACACGGTGACATGGGTGTAACGAAAGTCTTTCATCTCAAAACATTCTCACAAAAGTGTGAATTGCTCCTGTTCCCCCAAATCAGGTATGTTTAAGTTTTGACATAACTAGCCATTTTAAAATGTAGCTTTAAAGTGCAGCCTTTAACAGGAAATAAGCCAAGTGAAGAAGGTTTTTTCAGTCCTCCTGGAATTAATGGCAGATCTGGGAGAAGGCTGCATGGCGTCCCCAGCTGTTACAATGTTAAGAAATATTAGAAGTATGGAAGAATCATAAACTACATTGCAGCAATTATAGTAGTATTAGATGCCTGTATAATACCATCAGTATGTAGGCTGAACCAGACAAGACCGAGTTGCTGTGTGGCAGAACATGGTAAGCAGTGACAGTCTGGTTCTTCTCAGAAGTGTTACTGTCTTCTCCATTTAATTCCAACATACAGCAACAACAGCCCAAGATGTGTTCAAAATAAAGCTTTTCTGTTGATGTAAAGTGACAGATCAGACTTCTTTAAAAAAAGAAAAATTACTCAGAGTCATAGTGGTGAAAGCTTTTCTACTTCTCTTAAAAAAACACAACTGTGAAAAGCAGAAAAGAAGAAATAGAAGCCCTTCATTGGCAGAATGGGTACAGTTCTGGCCATAAAATTTTGGCCATGTTTTATCTCAGCTTTGCTGTTCAAGACCACTTCAAGAGCTGAAAGTATACAGTGGTTCTTAGGCTGTTCTTGACTATTTTGCCAAGCTGGCTGAGGATACATATATTAATATTGTTTTCCAAAGTGAGATGTCTTTAACATAAATTAAATTTATGGCATGGGTGAAAAGAATAACAAAGATCATCTTAACCCTATACGAACATCTTCAAATACTACAAGAGAGAGAGATGTGAAGAATAGTACAGCTCTACAGTTGTCACCTAAATGTGTTCATTCTTGTCTTTTTTTTTTTTGGTTATGTGTTTATTCCTTGTTTCAGAGTTGCATCTGAAACTTGGGTGTGTAGATCTCTCAGATGAATGTTCATTCTGAGCTACTTCTTCCATGAATAGTTTTTTGCTATATTGACTCCTGCACAGTTAGCTCATTATGAGAGCAGCTGCACTGCTGCAGAGCTCAGCATTTCTATGAATCTCTGCAGACTGGGATTTGTTTCAGTATCTGATAAATCTGCATAAAATACAGAACCTAGGCTTGATTGTTAACTTGAGCACCCACAGAATTAAACAAGATGAGTAGATTAAATTATGGATACATTTAATAAAACTAGGACTGTGGTTTGTGGTTTTTTTTTGCTTGTTTGTTTGGGTTTTTTTTCCCCTCCTCTCACTAAGCAAAGGCATTTAAAAACACCAGTCTATTTGAAAATAAATTTGAAGTGTCTCCTAACATCTTTTGTGACTGCTTATTTCCATCTTTCATCCATCCATTTATTTTATGTTTTCTAGTGGAGACACTTAAATTTGAGGTAATTTTTTTTTTGGAAACTTTTTTATTCTTATAGTACATTTGTGTGGTATTGCGATAACTTCAAGAGGTTGTTAGATACAATCCCATTTGCCCGTTAGTTCATTAATCACACAGACGCATCAGCCAGACAGTATGAGGATCAAATATTCTTCCATGTTATATTTCCATGTTAAGAATGAAATATGGGATGGGCTTATTGAATTGTGAATGAGAGAAATGGATCTTTATGCATATAAATTACAATTTTATTTTGAAAGGATGCACTGTCATTCTTAGCAAGCTTCTGCACAGTTTCTGCACTGTAGTCTCAGTAGTGAAATATCCATACTCTGTTCTCTGAGAACATTGTGGAATGTTTGTCTGCCAAACACCCCAGAATATGTTTTAATTAACAGCTCTGTAACAAAACAGCCTTGTAAAGCACGGCGTTACAGAGAGTCATAATTAGTAAATTTATCTGGTCATGTGAGGTGTTCATATATTCTCTTTGGTCTTCCGTTTTGTGTAGGAAGGTTGTAAATAGTATGTCTACTACTTCTGTTCTGCTTAAGTTCATTCTTGAATTCAGTATTTACACATTTGTGCTGAAATCTGTGGTTATGAGAACAGCAGGAAAGAAAACTTCTTTAAGGAAGTTGCTATTATGTAGTGTACTCAAAGCGAGTGCATTCATGCACAGCATGCTTTAGGGCAGCCATTGTTACCCATCTGAAGCGCCTGTCTTCTTAGCTTCCGTTACTGTAGTCAGATTCTGTACAGTCATGGATATATTCTGTTTTGTACCAACCCGATTTAATGGGATAGTATTGTTCCCCTGATTATGTTGACCTGTGGGGCTCCTGTGTCCAAGTGTCACACACCAAGCTTGCATCAGATGCCAGCCTTGCTTCTAGTGCCTTTTCCATTATGTTTTTCTTACCAGGGAGGCAAAGACCTTGGCCATATAACTGCAATGACTTTGGAGGGTTTCACTTTGAGCTGGAACTGTGGTACCAACTAATGGATAATCTGTTGTGATTTTCATTGCTTGTGGGCTCAACCTGGCATTTTCTATTGGACTGAGGCCAATCTTTGTCTTCTGAAACAGAATGTGAATTAATCTGAGCTGGGAAATTATGCTCAGTGGTACTTCTGTAGCTGATGATGCTCTGAGATTAGCTTGCAGGTGATTTTTTTTTCCTTAAACTTTTTATTTGTATGCAAGATGCCTTTTATTTTGCTACCAGGTATCTTGTTTTTGTTGACTTGTGTATGCAAAGCTGTGTTTTAAATGTAGATTTTTCTGGTTTTCTTTTCAGGCTACCATTAACCAGTTAAGAGCTGAACTTGCCAAAGGACCTCAGGAGGTAGCTGTATACGTTCAGGAGCTGCAGAAACTTCGAAGTTCAGTCAAAGAGCTAGAACAGAAAAACCAGGTGAGAATGGTGTTACTTCCTATGCTTGTCAGCTCACGTTAAGATGGAAACACATCACTCATTGCCTTGGGAAACACTGAAAACTAACAAAACCTTTCTTGGTCTTGCAAAAGTTGAGAATTCCTTTACCATTTTGCTTAACACTAAGGATATTGTAATGTACAACAAAACACTGTATTTTAACAATCATCAGTATGTTACAAGTGAAATCCTCAGGGCAGCTATGATTGCACACTTCCAGCTGCTGCTGTTTGTGCTTACCTGTCATTAAGCAGTATTGCCATCTCACACATTGAAAGAAAGAAGCAGTACTCTTTGAAATATTACAGCATTTGCCTAACAATTGTAATTCAGAAGGCATTTTGAGCTCTCTTCGTTGGTCTTCCAGTTTCTTAGCTTTTAGATTGTGCTCCTGTCATATTTTCTGGCTTTTTGTCGGGCACGAACAGTAGAAAATGGAAATGAACTCCAGAAGCTACTCAGCTTATAAGTATTCCTTGAGAGCGTTTATCCAAACCCTCTGAGCTTGCTGTATTTTGTGTTTGCATTAAGTATATGTTGTGGGGTAATAAATGGAGGTAAGGGAGCAGAGGTGACAAGGAGAAAGATGCATGCTGCTTTTTGTTGTGTGTATGTATAATGCTGTATATTAACTGTATACATCACATATGTATATTTATGAGCGATCTTTTCAGTGTTGGAAAATAGGAAAGGATATGGCCCAAACTGTGTATTTAATGTAATGTAATCTGTTATTAAAGCATCATTTGCAAAGCAAATATAAGATTAAAATTTGGTAAATTAAACTTGCCATTAGTAGGGTGACTCTTGGTTTGGCTCATTAAATAAGGTGCATGACTGAGATGGTGAGGATTGTCATGTGGTACTATTTCACAGATGATCAACACTGAATCAAGATTTTTGCAAAATTATTGCTGTACAGTGTAGGTCCTTTGCCTGAATATGTTGCTGTTCCATTAACAACATGGAGTGAAACAGGTTGATGCATAAGATAACCACACTTTGAGAGGCAGAGTCCTGTGCTGTGTCAGGTTAATGTCAAACACGACTTGAGGAATAGGAGTAAAAGAAGTAACAGGGAGCTACTTTTCCTCTTTCAGTTTCAGTGGCTTAACACAGTTTACAGCCACCTCTTTATGCAGCTTTTTGAAAAGCAATAGCTGTAAGAATGGTGTTGTAGCCAAGGAATCTTGGCCCTGGAAGACTTGGACCTAGAACTGGAAAAGTTAAGACTAGCTTCCCAAATAACAGAAATTGCTCCCAATTTGAACAATCTGCTGCCACTGAAGAAGCTGTCCTGGAGGAGGAAAGAGTCATTAATACGGGATAAAATATATTGCCTTTTGATATGTACATCCATTTATGAGTCCACTGCAATATGGGAAGACACTTCTGTGCATTGGCGCAGAGTTTTTCAAGCTCATGTGCACCCTCCAGCAAGCAAGCTGTTTCTTGTATTTTCAGGAGCTATACTGAGAAGAGCAGATGACAAGTAGATAAGATCAGTTCTTTGAGACCAGCAGGACTTGCCTTTCCTTCATTTATAAAGCATTGTAATTATGGGTCTTGGCTTGCCTTGCAGAGGCCAGTAATGTCCTGTAGCCCAGAAGAGACCTAATGTGTAAAGCCAGCATATTTCCTGAAGCATAAAAGTTGCTGTAATTCTAAACCCATCCCATGTGGGGGTTTTTGTTTGTTTTCTTTTAAGAAAATTGTGATGCATTATCTACAAGGAAAGATGTTTAGTTTCTAACCTTCTACTGACATAACTATTCTGAAATTTATCAGTGACCACACAGTTTGTTCTTTAATGCCTTGCCACTGCCACTACTTACGAGTTGTATGTTTCCAAAGAGCAGGAAGGGATCAGTGTGGTGTTCCTCCTCTTATCTGGTGAGCTTTGAAGGCTCAGAGCTCTTCACTGATATTTGCATGATGCTGTCATGCCCTCTTTCTTTTTTGTGGAAACCAAGGCTTGGGGAAGAGAAGTGGCTGGTGTGTGCACACACATTCCCTTATACATCTGAAATGCAGCTGGCCTACGTGTCCAGAGAGGCAACACTGCTAAGTCCACTGGTGTAACCAGAATGACCATAGCTCTTCTGCTTTCTGGCCTTGAGACTGCTCATGGGCTTCAGTCACTCAAAGAGGTACCAGGCTTTTGGGCAAACCCAGCTCTTCTCTCATGAAAGCAGCAGCAGCTATTTGTGGCTTTGTCAAGCCATTCATGACTGCAGAAGCTGTTCAGCTGTCAGGGGCAAATAACGCTGGTATTTGTTGTGCTGTTCATCAGACCAGGGAGGAAGAGAGAAGTGTAGCACAGAATGTGGAGCAGCATCTCCAAGTGTGTGTAGCTACTGCCATTGGCTGTCCTTTGGATAGGCTGTGAGGTGATGGTGGAAAGGCTTTGCTGCTTCTTTGTTTCACATCCTCTTCCTGAAAGCTTCCCAGCCTCTCAGTCAGCTTCAAGACAACTGTAACTGTTTCTGTTTCATTTTTCCTCCTCCCTTCTCCCTTTACTTCAATATTTAAGTTAGGGCTCTGCATTGAGTCTTCATAAAGTTCTTCTTAGCAGTTCTACATTTGATGTGTGGATCTAGTTATGAAATAGTAGCAAGATGAATACCTTAGCTCTAACTTGTCTGTCTATGATGAAAAAGGTTCTGTGCTGTGTTGGTATTTCAGGAACTCTATTCAGTATGAGCGTTAATGATCCTTACCGGGTCATTTCTCTTTAATGAAAAAGGAATTGCAATTTTATGTTCTGAAAGTGAAATGTATTTTAAAAGCTGTCGGAGCTTTGCCACTGGCTTCAGGAGGGTAAAGTTGGCACCTGGCCTCAGTATGTTCCTCATGTGCTCTATTCCTACATTTTATATAGGCATATATAAAAAGTTCTGCATACCTATAACAGCAATAAGTTGTTTTATTTTTCAAGAAACAATTCAAAATATACTACTTCAGGGCTGGAATTCAATAGCCAAACTTTAGTCTTGAGACAAAATTTTTGGGTAAAGTTATATGCTTTACAAAGTATGTATGTTTTTAAATGGACACATAGGGCATTAATTAGATTTGTTCTCAGATGGGTTGCTGCACTGCTGGAGTTGTCATTTGCAAGACTGCTTGTTTTCTAATTTTTTTTTATAGAAGCTTCTGTTTATTTTATCATGATTATAAACTAAAAGTGTCTGTATGTGGTTAATAACAACCCGTATATAGTCATCATTTGTTAAAATCTGTAAAGAACAAAATCATTCAATTGTTCAACTTCCTTGTATGATTTTACAGCTTTTTCTTCTGGCAAAACAGGCTTCATCCCTGGATACTCTGCAGAAGTGCATTTTTAAGATGGCCAGTATAGAATTGCAGCACTGTCTTATCTTTGGAACAGTGTTCCTACAAAGTTGCAGAACTGATCGAAGTTTTGATACATAAAAATGACCTCCAGTGCTGGCATTTTTTTTTCAGGCTGACGTGCTGAAAGTATTCTTTATTTTCTCTATTTTAATTGAAAGATCAACTAGAGAATACAGTAGTCACTCAATCTGCAGGAAGCACACAAGTGTTTAAAAGGTGTGCATAGTAATGCCCCACTGAGATAGGCATCAGTAAGATGCTACAATAAATGGAACCTGCTGGTACATTTTAAGAAGATGGAGTGAATTACCTGAGGTGGATGATGACCAGGGTATCCCTGCAAGTGTATTTCTGTTCTTCAAGTGTCACTGGAAAATTGAAATGGTTCTCTTGGCTTCTTTTTCCTGCTTGGAGAGCTCTGAAATTCCAGGTAGTGCCTCAGCTAAGCTTGGGGAAACCCCCAAACTTTCTGGAGTTATATCTTGTCCATTTAATTTCTATCTGAATATAATTTTGATTAGTTCATGAACTTTGATGAAAATTATCTGTAAATATTTTTTTTTCCCAGTATTTGTCTTGGTGTGTAAATTTGATAGTTTGACCTTAGACCCTGCAATATTTACTATTGTTAATGTAATTAAAAATATGACACTCTGTGATGTTCATGTCTTTCCTTTAGGGAATCCAAATTTTTTAGTGTTTTCAAACTCAAAGCAACCATCATCTTTGAGATAATTTGTATGCAAGTAAGTTAGATGGTATAAATTAAAATGTGTAGATATAATCTTCTAAAATGAAGGTTAAATCATGAGTGTTTCATTCTGTGATTTATTAGTGTCACAGTTTTTGTTGGTTTTCACAGATTCTCTTCCATAATTTTGATAGCCGATCATGTTGTTAAGTATAGTGACAGAGCAAAATTAGGATACTTCTAAGGGTGACCAACGTGACTGCACAGGATTAGACAGGAATCAAACCATAAATGTTGTTGCTTAGTGAATTATGGAGGACAGTGATACTTTAAAGTTTCTTCTGTATACTAATGAATTACTATTTCAGCTTTTCCCCAAACAAATGCAGTTGTAATAACCTAGAATTGAATGCTTAGGGAAAGCAAATTAATCTTCAGGGTACAGAAATAGAGTTTGTATGGTGTTCTCAGAAAGAGGAAGTGGATTTATGTGAGAATATGGAAACCATATTTCCATTTGAACCTGTGTGCTATATAGGTTCCAGAATTAACTTGTGTAATATGAATAAGAGGTCAGTATTTTCTTTAATGATGTTTTTGAGCAAGTTAATCACTGTTCAACACAGTGTTAAACACTTGAGAAGAAATTTGAATAATTCATTGAACAGCTGTAAACAGAATTGTACTTGACTTGCTGTATATCTCTCTTTATAGATACTGGCTGAAAAGCTGCTGATGAAAGAGCAGGACTACACCCAGCTAGAAGAAAAGCACAATGAAGTATCTGTGAGTAAGAAAAACATGCAGGCAAGCTTTCACCAAAAAGACCTAGACTGCCAACAGCTTCAGGCAAAGGTGTCTGCATCTGAAGCCTCAATACAGAGATTACAGACAGAGCTAGGTGAAAAGGGGGAAGCAAGCCAGAAACTTAAAGAAGAGTTGTCTGAAGTAGAGACAAAGTACCAGCATCTCAAGGCAGAATGTAAACAGCTCCAGCAGCAGAAGGAAGAGAAAGAGCAGCATGGCCTGCAACTCCAAAGCGAGCTCAGTCAGGTAAGGCTCCTTCGGCCTCTTCGTCCATCCTGTTGGGGTGGTTCCTTAAACCATCCCAGCGGGGTTTTTTAAACCTGTGTACACATATTCCTCATGTGTATGCATTCACATTACCCTATTGAAGGGGAGTAACTAACCAGTATTTGCATTTGAATTAAAATAAAGCTAGCTGGTGTTTGAATAAATATAAAGCATTATTCCTAACACTGCAAAGAATGA